TGTTGAGGTGGTTCGGACATGTAGAGAGCATGGAACAAAATAGAATGACTTCGAGAGTGTATAAATCTGTAATGGAGGGAAGGCGGGGTAGAGGCCGGCATAGGAAAGATTGGAGGGAGGGGCTAAAGGTGGTTTTGTGTGCGAGAGGCTTGGACTTCCAGCAAACATTCGTGAGCGTGTTAGATAAGAGCGAATGGAAACAAACGGTTTTTAGGATTTGACGTGCTGTTAGAGTGTGAGCAAGGTAATATTTATGAAGGGATTCAGGGAAACCGGCAGGCCGGACTTGAGTCCTGGAGATGGGAAGTACAGTGCCTGCACGCTGAAGGAGGGGTGTTAATGTTGCAGTTTTATATCTGTAGTGGAAGCACACCTCTGGCAAGACTGATGGAGTGAATGATGAAAGTTTTTCTTTTTCGGGCCACCCTGCCTTGGTGGGAAACGGCCGATATGTTAATAATAAAAATAAAATAATGTATACATACTACTTCTACTATTCATAATAATAATAATAACAATCAAGCATACGTTTCGTCAGGTGCAAGTTCACTTCGAACGCCACACAGTTCGTGAAGTACTTTCAAGAGTCGAAGCTGCAGTCGTACCAGAGTGTGGGCAGCAGAGCTGACGTCGTGGAGACAGTCCTAGCTGGTCTACAGGCCATCACCAAGACCAGGTGACCCGAGCCTTCACTCCTGGGTCTGGGACCAGCGAATACTGTCTCTCTCGTTCTCTCTCTCTCTCTCTCTCTCTCTCTCTCTCTCTCTCTCTCTCTCTCTCTCTGCTACAACTATACCATATAAAGACTGCTACAACCATTCCATCTTAAGACTAAAACAGACACACATTAAAAATCTCTTGTAAAGGTCCTTTATATAGTTATTTTTTTTTTTTGTAAATGCGATGAAAAAAGTTCATATACAATTCAAAAGCTAGTGCTGGAAAGGCCGTTCCACGCACCGTTCTATTTTGGGCGTGCTTTTGAAATCGCATATACAAAAATCGCACTGTATACAATAGTTTAATAAGAATTACTGTAATTCTTCTTTGAGAGTATAGCATATTGCTCCTCCTCCCCCAGGGTTGCTTTCTTCCACGAGCGCTACAACATGGAGCTCTACATCGCTGAGTACTTCACTAGACCTGACGGCTCTACACCCATCTATGTTGCCAAGGAGAACGTCATCCCTAACTACGCTGCCTACATGACTCCCCACGACGCTCCCTACAAGCATTCACTCGACTATTGGCTCCTACGGATCATTGAGGTCAAGCTTCATACACGGCTATGATAATAAGTATAATAGGGCTCATGAAGCTAAGAGGGACTAGACCAGGTCACTTCCAGTTAATAAGCTGGAATTTAACTGAAAAACTAAACCCGAAATATTGAACATTCCCGTTTTTATAAAAAATCAAATCCAGCATGTTTTTCTTACAGGATTATAGAGGATTAGAAATATAATGTAAATGAGAAATTAATGCTACAAAAACAGTAAAAATCCGCAGGTTATTTTTTTTTTTAACGAGGTGAGACTTTTCTTAATTTCGCAATATTATCAATAACATTCTCGTTTGCTTTCTCACAAATTTTAGTTTATTGCTTGGGAACGCCTTATTCGATCGTCTTAAAATTTTAAATGCTTGTGTAATGTATCCTGGACAAGATTCATGGGAGTATTTACATGCTTGGGTGCACTGTGCACAATGTTACATACGCTGCTCCCAGATTCTTGTTTCCGTGTTACAGGTGGACACAGCCTCCTCTGATAGCCTTCAAAATTTCAACACTGGTGTATCTTAGTAAAAGATTAATATGTTTAATGTAGTGTGTTGATACCATTATAACATTTTAATATTGAAATAGTGTAGTATTATTTTTAATTTACTGCTTCGTTTAGCCTTGATTCTGCGAGGGGGCTCTTGCTCCAAGGAATTGGGCTTATCTTCTCCTTGCATAGAATTTATATGTCTTCCATTCCGCAGGCGCTATATGACCTTTACGGGTTTAGGTTTTTCCTCTGATTAAAAACAACAATTGTGAAAGGCATCAGTCTTCAGTGGCTGATGCATCGTAGAAAGTGGATAAAACGTTCCGCGGGTTTAAGCTGTGTAGCCACAAATTTTGTTGGATTTTGCACAGTAACTGGAAAATGCTTCTGGTCAGCTTGAATCAAATTGGTTAAACATTTGAAGAAATAAGAAATGTTATTGTTTGACTTTAATTGGTAATCCTGGATTAAATCAACTTAATGTGTTTTTCATGTGCCTAAAACATCTGGGTGCCCTCAAGAGCATTATTAAAAATTTATGTGTGATGAACACTAAGCTTATATAAAACTTATTTACATTCTTATAAGCTGGTCAGTCTTATAAAAAAAATTTGGATTGATTTAGTCAGTGAAGGTTCCCCATTTGTTTTTTAAAAAGTGGAAAAATTTAAATGCTGCTTTTCATGTCATAATTTTTGAGTGTTGTATCTGATTAACTTCATCCTTCCATGCTGATTATCTGACAAAGCAGCATCTGAGTGGCTTCCAGCCATTGGTCTCTTTGGTCCGCCTAAAAGATCTGAATTAGATTTGGTCTGTGTGTCCAAATGTACCATTTTTATTGAACAAATTTGGATAAAAGATTCCAAATGATAACTTATAAATGACTCGTTTGAGTCCCTTAAATCCTTGAAGCTAATATTAACCTTCATTATCAACTTATGCCACATCCTGCACTATTCCATCCGTGTGAACTGAGGTTCAGTGGGCTGGGGCTGTGCGATACGTGGATACCTTCCTCGGATCAAGCAGTTACCGAAACACGACTGGTTCCCATAATGTTTAGCATATTCCTGATGTTGATTCTGGCTGCTTTATTAAGTTCAAAGCCTGTCAACTGCACGATGGTCATTAAGGTTGCATATCATCTATACAACACCAGTCAGGAATACTTTAACTACTTACATAATGAATATAGAAAGCTCAGCGTATATTTATACTTAGACACATTTGTGTTTACCCGGTGTGATGTACTATGGTTAGCAGTAACATGAACTGTCCATGGTGGGAAAAATACACACAAATGCAATGTAATGCGATCCTTTATTGACTACGTTTCGCCCACACAACGAAACGAAAAAACGTCAATAAAGGATCGCAATATACTGCATTTGTGTCTATTTTTTCATCATGTCAGTATTTTATACTATTTAACCGAACGATTCGCCTTCAGTCGAAAGGCCTTAGCAAGTTAACTTACAATACTGTGTGCACTGGTGCACACAGTACTGTGTACACTGGTGTACACAATACTGTGTGCACCAGTGTACATGGACAACTGTTTGAATAAATTATTTTATAATTGTTGTTTTTTCCCAACAGAGTGGACTGAAGAATAAATTTTCTGATGATATGCAACGCGGCACCTGGCAAGAGATCCGTCAAAGGAAAGCGCAGCTGGAGCAACAGCAACAGCAGCAGCAGCTTGAGAACAGCAACATTATGGATTCTGAAGACAGTCTGCAGGCTCTCGGTCTCACCCACATGCAAGGCTCTTTCTGGATGCTACTACTGGGCCTACTCCTGGCCAGTACTTCCTTCCTGATTGAGGTGTTGGTGAGAGGACCTCTACACTCTCCCTCACTGTGAAGTGTTGGTGAGAGGACCTCTACACTCTCCCTCACTGTGAAGTGTTGGTGAGAGGACCCCTACACTTTTCCTCACTGTGAGGTGTTTGTGAGAGGACCCCTACACTCTTCCTCACTGTGAGGTGTTTGTGAGAGGACCCCTACACTCTCCCTCACTGTGAAGTGTTGGTGAGAGGACCCCTACACTCTCCCTCACTGTGAGGTGTTGGTGAGAGAACCCCTACACTCTCCCTCACTGTGAGGTGTTGGTGAGAGGACCCCTGCACTCTCCCTCATTGTGTAAGGTTGAAGGAGGATATCTACACTCTCCCTGACACAGTCAGAGAGAGTATAGGGAGGGTGGATCTAATCGGCATATTGACTGATATCCGGAACTGGAAAGAGCGTAGAAATAAATCAGAAGAGCGAGAATTTCCTTGTGTTCTTATAGTGTAATAGACCAAACTATCACTTGCTAGTGACTTTCTTCACTACCATTAACTACTCATACACGTACACACACGTACAAGTGGCACAGTATATTCCCAGGTCACTGGCGGTGTATAACAGTCACTGGTGGTGTATAACAGTCACTGGTGGTGTATAACAGTCACTGGTGGTGTATAACAGTCACTGGCAGTGTATAACGGACTTGAATGTTCACTTCATATCAAAACTTACGTGATAATACCGTAGACTTTATTTCAAATCAGTTATATTTATTTATACACAAATAACCCGCACATAGAAGAGAGGAGCTTACGACGACGTTTCGGTCCGATTTTGGACCATTTACAAAGTCACACTAACGAGAAGGGGAGCAGGATGGGTATATAGGCAGGAGGTGGTAGTAGTAGTAATGGTAGTAGTGGAGGTGGAAGGAATTGGTAGTGGGGAGGTTGTAAGAGTAGGAGAGGCCAGTCAAATACTAAGAAAGAGGAGCACTGCAAGGGAGCTGGTGCCCACAGAGGGTAAGAGCAAGAACACCGAGGGGAGGAAAAACAAATAAATAAGTAAATAAAGAAGGAACAAATACACAGGGCAAAAGAAAGACAACCCAGAGGAGAAAAATTAAAAAGGAAAGGGGAAAAGGGATAAGAAGAAAAAAGGAGGAGTCAGGTTAAGTCACGAGTGTTCCCAAGTTTGGAGCATTTTACAATGTAGTGGGAGAGGAAGGCATCTACAGAGACGAAGCCAGGACTAAGATTCATACAAGGAAAGTTGTGTATTAGGGAGGATTCAACCAGACGGCGACTGATAAGAAGGAAGGAAGAAAAGTAGTGAATGTACATGCCACCTGTATCTGACCGGTGGACATGGACATCAAGAAAAGGAAGCAAGGAATTAGATTCCCATTCAGCATTAGACTAATGAAAATGGCAAGATTATTAAGAGCTTCAAGAAAAGGTTGGAAGAGACAAGAGTCATGAGGCCACAGAGCAAAGATGTCATCAACATAGCGGAGCCAGAGTGAAGGTCGCACATTGATGGTAGGAAGAAGAACAGTCTCGAAGTATTCCATGTAAATTTAGCAAGGACAGGAGAGAGAGGAGAGCCCATAGCCACACCGAAGGTTTGAGAATAATATTTCCCTTGGAAGGAAAAGAAATTAGAGTCCACACTTCCTCTGTCAAGAAAAGTGTTCTTATCTCCCTCTTTTCCCGTGCTCTCCGCATATGTGATCCTCAGTTCCTTCAGTCAGAAATTTCCACTCTTCATAATTCGTTTTCCCGTCTTGGCTACCCTTCCCATTTCATAGACTCTGCCCTCTCACGTGCTAAACGTAATTTCTTCTCTCCCAAACTCTCTACTCCTGGGAACTCTTCTGTCTTCTGCCTTCCCTACATTTCCGGTCTTTCTAATCTCAACAACTCTCTCCGTTCCTTAGACATCAAGCTTACTTTCCGCCAGACTAACACTCTTCGCACTAATCTCGTTCATACCTCTCCTCCCTCTACAGATGTTTCTGGTGTCTACTCTATTTCTTGCTCCTCCTGTCCTCTTCAGTACTTAGGAGAAACTGGTCGATCTCTTTCTGACAGACTTAGGGAGCACAAAAATAGTGTTAGGCTTGCCGACACTAACAATGCTCTTTTCTGTCACGTCAGAGATCACAGCCATCCTATTGACTGGTCTTCTGCTAAAACTGTCTTCCCTACTTCCAACTTTAACAGTCACCATCTGGTTGAATCCTCCCTAATACACAACTTTCCTTGTATGAATCTTAGTCCTGGCTTCGTCTCTGTAGATGCCTTCCTCTCCCACTACACTGTAAAATACTCCAAACTTCAGAACACTCGTGACCTAACCTGATTCCTCCTTTTTTCTTCTTCTCCCTCTTCCCCTTTCCTTTTTCCTTTTTCTCCTTTGGGTTGTCTTTCTTCTGGTCTGTGTATTTGTTCCTTTTTTACTTATTTGTTTCCCCCCCCCCTCGGTGTTCTTGCTCTTACCCTCTGTGGGCACCAGCTCCCTTGCAGTGCTCCTCTTTCTTAGTATTTAACTGGCCTCTCCTACTCTTACCACCTCCTCACTACTACTTCCTTCCACCTCCACTACTACTATTACTGCTACTACTACCACCTCCTGCCTATATATACCCATCCTGCTCTCCTTCTCATTAGTGTGACTTTGTAAATGGTCCAAGTCGGACCGAAACGTCGTCGTAAGCTCCTCTCTTCTATGTGCGGGTCATTTGTGTATCGTTCCAGTCACGGTATTCTGCGCCTTTTTTTTTTTATAAATGTATTTATCTTCTCAAAGTGAAGTATTTCTTTATATATATCCTGTATGGTTGAGTGAAGATGATGCTGGATGAGTGAAGATGGTGATAGTTGAGTGGAAAATGATGATGGTTGAGGGAAAATGATGCTTGTTGAGGGAAGATGATATTAGTTGTGAGCAATCATGAGTAGGGCATCCTGGTGCTGAACTAGACGTAAGATGACTCTCTCAGCAGGGCACCCAGATGCTGAGCAAGACGTAAGATGACTCTCTCACCAGGGCACCCAGGCGCTGAGCAAGACGTAAGATGAGTCTCTCAGCAGGGCACCCAGATGCTGATCAAGACGTAAGATGACTCTCTCACCAGGGCACCCAGGTGCTGAGCAAGACGTAAGATGACTCTCTCAGCAGGGCACCCAGATGCTGAGCAAGACGTAAGATGACTCTCTCAGCAGGGCACCCAGGCGCTGAGCAAGACGTAAGATGACTCTCTCAGCAGGGCACCCAGGCGCTGAGCAAGACGTAAAATGACTTCCTCAGTATTCAACCTTCTTCCTGATAAAATGTCTTGAGAGTTTATCGTGGGTCTTGTGGAGGATCGTCGACACTACTCAGGTTGCCACTCAAGAATGTTGACCAGCCTCCCTGGCAGACTTGAGGCCACAACACACGACCTGACAAAAAAAAAGTACATAACTATTTTTATAATATTCCTGGAGAAGCGCTAAACCCGTAGTGTTAACACAGCGTCTGATGCATGAGAGGTAATGAGGTTTGATCTAAGGAAAGTGAGAGTTCCTTCAGTTGCTTAGATCAAGAGCCCCTTACCGGCATCAAGGTACTTCGCATCCTCTTGAAGGGGCTGTGACAGAACCACGCGAACGTTCGTCTCACAGCACCGGGACGACCAAAGACCCAGCTTGGCACTGTTTTTTTGGTTCGTCATGCTTGGAGTATACAGATTATCCACTATACGAACGCTTCCAGTGAATCCGGATTTCTCAGCTAAGTAGCGAGTACCAGCCTCCAGTATCCTCTGCCATTTGTAACAGTCTCACTGCCATTAAGATGACATCTCTGGGCTTCCCTGGAGGCTGAGAGCACCACAAAAACACAACAAGACTCATTAACCATCCATCACACTTGAGAGAGAAGAAAGAAACATGTTAAGAGTCGCTGGGGTGCCGCGTGTGATCTAAGGCGGCACTGGGGTGGGGCATGGCTCTCCTGGGGACCTGCTCCATCACCCTCACTAGCAAAGGTTTCCCATACATCCATAACAAGTTGAGAACGCAACTACCCCTTCCTCAGGGCTCCTCCCTCTTCCCTTTAAAACAGTAATGAATACACGTAGTGAACGGCAAGTAGCCGACGAACACACAAAGTGAACGACAAGTTGCAGATAATCGCACACAGTGAACAAGTAACAGACAAACACACAGAGTGAACGACATTAGCAGACAAACACACAGCGAACACAAATAGCGGACAAACTATAAATGCTAAACACACATAGCAGTTAGTCTTCATCACTGTTTCGCTCTAAACAAGACTTGGTGAAAACCTACTCTCAGAAGTGTTTACCGCTCGTCTGACTTAAGACCAGTGTTAGTAAGAATGATGAAGCTCGTAATTGGTGACGTGTACTTAGCTCTGTGAAGACCTGTTTGTGCGCTCTCTACGGATTGAAGCAAGATGCCCTCCATCGAGCAACTTTACCAACAGCTTAAGGAAGAATTGAGGATGGCGAAGATGGAGATTCGGCGACTGACCGAGGAAAACAAGAAGATTCGTAGTAGTCCTCCTGTTTTGAGTCCTCAGGTCAAGAAGGGAAACTGGTCAGTGGCTGGGCAGCAGGGAACGAAGTTGACGATCAAGAAGACGAATGGAAAGGTAGAAACGATGAAGAAGAAAGAGACTGCCGTGAAAACTGTTGTGGAAACATCTAATACAATCTCAGTGCTACCCGATGAATGTGAGTCGACTACTGGGAATGTCACGACGAACGACACCAAGGAAGGTAAGAATATTGTTGTTGTTGGGGATAGCCAAGTTAGGTATATGGATAGGGCGTTCTGCTTGAAGGACAGGAGTAGGAGACAGAGGGTTTGCTTTCCTGGGGCTGGGATGGAGGATATTGTTAGCCATCTGGATGACATCATGAGAGATAATGGGAGCAATCCTATTATCTGTCTCAGTGCTGGAGGCAACGATGTTGGCAGACGTAGGAGTGAAGACCTGATTAGCAGGTATAGGTCAGCAATAGAAATAATTAGGAGGAAGGGTGGGAGCCCTGTCATA